ATTTCAGAGACCAGCTTTGGATTTAATTGATTTTCTTTATTGTTTTCTGTTTTATATTTCATTGAGTTTTACTCTGATTTTAATATTTCATTACTCTGCTTACTTTAGTTTTAATCTTTTTTTTTTTTTTAAGTAGAACCTGAGGCCATTGGTTTGTGATTTTCTTCTTTGTAACAAATTAATTATAGCATTAATTGGTATTTGGTGTTGCTTCTTTTTTTTATGTATCAATTATGGCTCGGGGAGCGGGTATTGTCGTGATAATCATGCGCTTCATAGTTTAATAAATTTTGTAGGCCTACTGTGAGGGGGGTGCTTCAAGGAAACTCAATAAATTGTTAAATCTCTAGCCAGACTAATCAGGGGGAACAAAGAGAGAAGACACAAATTACCAATGGCAGGAATGAGATAGGTGATATCATTATGATAGTTTCTATTGACCTTAAAAGGATAATAAGAGAATGCTATTTACAAATTACATATAAAACTTAGATGAAACATATGAATTTCTTAAAATACACAAACTAACAAAGCTCACTCAAGAAGAAATAATAACCTGAATAACAAGTTATCTATTAGGAAAAATGAATTTATACTTAAAACCTACTCATAAAGAAAATTCCAGACACACATGGCTTTACTGATGAATTTCACTAAACATTTAATGGAGAAATAATACTAATTCTTTACAAACTCTTCCAGAAAATTGAAGATGAGGAAATTCATCTCAGATCATTCCACAAGGCCAGCATTACTCCGATACCAAAACCAAGCAAAGATATTTGAGCAAAAGTACTAACCAACATTCCTCAACATGATACAAATTGTCAATAAATTCTTAACAAATTGAATCCCACAAATAGAAAAGGTAATAAAAATTAGAGTCTATCCCAAGAATACAAGTTTAGTTTAACATTTAAGAACTAATCTAATTAATTAGCTATATTAATTAACATAATAGACTGAAAAAGAAAAATCACCATATTATACCAATACATGTAGAAAAGTAGCTGACATATCCAACATTCCTCCCTAATTTAAAGACAAAAACTCTCAGTAAACTAGAAGAGTATTTCTATAACCTCATGAGGGCATCTAGGTAAAACTTATATCTAACATATTAAATGATAAAAGATTGAATGCTTTTTTTGGGGGGTGGAGGAATGCAACAACTTTACTGAAAGAAAAGTGCAATGAAATTTGTTGAAAGCTTAAACTTAGACACCTCCCCTCAAGCGCAGGACCAAGTGCATGGTGGACTCTTTCTGGATGTTGTAGTCAGAGAGGGTGCGCCCATCTTCCAGCTGCTTCCCAGCAAAGATCAGCCTCTGCGGATCAGGGGGAATGCCTTCCTTGTCTTGGATCTTTGCCTTGACATTCTCAATGGTATCACTGGGCTCAACCTCGAGGGTGATGGTCTTGCCGGTCAGGGTCTTCACAAAGATCTGCATCCCACCTCTCAGACGGAGCACCAGGTGCAGGGTGGACTCCTTCTGGATGTTGTAGTCGGACAGGGTGCGCCCATCTTCCAGCTGCTTCCCGGCAAAGATCAGCCTCTGCTGATCAGGGGGATGCCTTCCTTGTCTTGGATCTTTGCCTTGACATTCTCAATGGTTCATGAAAGGAAGAAAAAGGGGAGGGGGAAAAGGCATCTGCATTGGAAAATAAGAAGAAAAATCATGTTTATTCACAAATAAAACCCAATGGAATAATAGAAAACCCAGTGGAATAATAAAAGGTTGCTAGAACTAATAAAAGAGTTTACCAGAGTTGAAAGATATGAGACCAGTATATAAAAATCAATTGTATTTCTCTATACCTGCAAAAATCTCAGAGATTGAAATTAAAGATATAATACCATTTACACTAACAGCATGAAATATAAAATACTCAGGAAAAAATACTCAGAAAATATAAAATCTATACAGTGAAAAATGCAATACATTAAATTAATGAAGACCTAGATAAATGGAAAGATATATCAGTTCCATGGATTAGAAGAATCTTATCATGTCACTTCTCCTTAAATTAACCATAAATTCAATTCAAACCAAAACAAAATTCTAGTAGGCTGCTTGATAGACTCTGAAAACATGATTCTAAAATTCATATAGAATTCCAAATGTCCTGGTACAGAAGAAAACAACTTTGAAAATGAAAAAAATTGGAACTACTGATATAGTAACAACATGGACAAATCTCAAAGTGAAAGAAGCTAAGTGAAGTAGCCAGAAACAAATAATCACATACTGGAAAATTCCATTGAAGGAGCTCAGGAAATTTCACCCCAAAATACAACTCTTTGATATAAAGAGTATTTCATGTTATCTCATTATATTGCAGGAAAGAAAATCAAGAATGCAGCCAGACCTGGCCCAAGTCATTTTAAATATAATTTAATATAATAATTAAATTTAGTTTTATTTAATGTACCATTAAATATAATACCAGGGACTTCAACACCCATGGACAATACTGGAAAGATCATCCAAGTAGAAAATGAAAAAAAAAAAACATTGCGCTTAAATGGGACTCTAGGACAGATGGGCCTAACAGACATTTATAGAGCATTTTACCAAAAACTACTGAATATACTTTCTTCTTATCAGCACATGGAACATTCTCCAAGATTGATTATATCTTAGGCAAAAAAAACATGTCTCAACCAAATCAAAAAGACAGAAACTATACCATGTATCTTCTTAGACCACAGTGGAATAAAACTAGAAATAAATTCCAAGAGAAACACTCAATTCTACCCAAATTCTTGGAAATTAAAAAAAAAAAACTGCTGCTGAAGAATTATTGGGTTAATAATGAAAGTAAGATGGAAATAAAATATTCCTTGAATGGAACAAAGAGTACACAGCTATCAAAATCTATGGGATTCAGTAAAAGCAGTCCCATGGGGAAATGTCCTTAAATGCCTATATCAAAAAAAAACAGAAAGATCACAAATTAACAATCTAATGATATGTCCCAAGGAACTAGAAAAGGAAACCAAACCAAATCTAAAGCCAGCAGTAGGAAAGAAAGAACTAATGTCAGAGCAGAACTAAATGAAATCAGAAACAAGAAAATAATACAGAAGATCAATGAAACAAAAGGTTGCTTCTTTGAAAAGATAAACAGAATTCATATATCTCTTGCTAGCTTAACCAGGAATAGAAGAGAAAGGACCCAAATAAGTTCAATCAGAAGTGAAAAAGGAGATATTACCACTGATTCCACAGAAATACAAAATATCATCTGTGAATACTATGAAAATCTCAACCACATAAACTCAAAACCATAGAGGAAATGGACAAATTCCTGAAAACACACAACCTACCAAGACTCAATCAGGAAGAAATAGAACTCTTGAACAGACCAATAACAAGCAGCAAGATTGAAGCAGTAATAAAAACTTTTCCAACAATAAAACACCCAGACCAGATGGATTCACAGCTGAATTTTGCCAGACCTACAAAGAAAAGCTGGTACTTTTCTGCAGAAATTATTCCATAATATCATACTGCAGAAATTATTTCATAATATCAAGAAGGAGGGAATCCTCCCCAGCTCTTTCTATGAAGCCAGTATCACCTTGATACCAAAGCCAGGAAAGGACATAACAAAAATAAAACTAAAGACCAATAACCTTTATGAATATAGATGCAAAAATCCTCAATAAAATGCTAGCAAACCGATTTCAACAGCACATCAAAAAAAAAAAAAATCAACCATGACCAAGTGGGCTTCATTCCAGGGAGAGAAGGATGATTTAACATATGTAAATCAACAAATGTGATTCACCACATAAACAGAAGCTATATATATATGTATATATATATATATGATCATCTCAATAGATGCAGAAAAAGCATTTGACAAAATATAGCCCCCTTTCAGGATAAAAACCCTTAACAAACTAGGTATAGAAGGAACAATTCTCAAAATTATAAAAACCATATATGACAAACTCACAGCCAACATCATATCAAATGGGAAAAAGTTGAACACACTCCCACTAGAAACTGGAACAAGACCAGGGATCCCACTGTCATGACTTCTATTCAACATACTGCTGGAGATCCTACCAGAAAGAATCCAGCAAGACAAAGAAATAAAGGGTATTCAGATTGGTACAGAGGAGAACAAACTATCAATTTTTGCTGATGATATGATCTAATATCTAGAAAAACCCAAAGACTCCACTAAGAGATTCATGGAATTGGTAAATTTAGCAAAGTCTCAGATTACAAAATCAATAGCATTTCAGGTACGCAAATCAGTAGCATTTCTATGTACCAATAGCAGTCAAACTGAGAGTCAAATCAAAGACACAATACCATTCACAATAGCTACAATGAAAATAAAATATCTGGCAATATACTTAACCAACAAAGTATATAAAAATAGAACTATGAAACACTGAGGAAGGAAATTGCAGAGGATGTAAACAAATGGGAAAACATATCATGCCCATGTATAGGTAGAATCAACATTGTTAAAATGTCCAAACTAGCCAATGTAATTTACAAATTCAATACAATCCCCATCAAAATATCAATGTCATATTTCACAGATCTAGCAAAAATAATTTTATACTTTGTTTGGGGCCAGAAAAGGGCTCAAATAGCCAAAGCAATCTTAAGCAAAAAGAACAAATTTGGGACATAACATTACTAGACTTCAAACTATACAATAAGGCTAGAGTAATAAAAGCAACATGGAATTAGCACAAAAATTGAGACATAGACCATTGGAACAGAACAGAGGACTCAGATATTAAACCATCCACATATAGCCAACTGGTCTTTGGGAAAGCAGACAATAATATACACTGGGAAAGAAGCCCTAGTTAATAAATGGTACTGAGAAAATTGGACAGCCACATGCAGAAGAATGAAACAGGATCCCTATCTCTCACCACTCACTAAAGTTAATTCAAGATGGATAAAAGACTTAACTGTAAGGCATGAAAGCATAAGAATTCTAGAAGACAATGTACCAAAAGCTCTTCTAGATGTTGGCTTAGGAAAAGAATTTATGACTAAAATAAATCCCAATGACAATTATGGCAACAATAAAAATAAATAAATGTGACTTGATAAAAATAAAAAGCTTCTACACAGCCAAGGAAATAATCAACATATCAAATAGAAAACCTTCAGAATCAGAGAAAATATTTACATGTTATATATCTGATAAAGGGCTAATAACAAACTTGAAAGAGCAAATAATTCTTCATGCAATTTTTCAGAGGGTAGCGTATGAGAATTGCTGTTTCCTGTATGGTATTAATCAGATGGCTCCCATTTCAAATCCATTTTGTGATCTTGGGTAGTGAAAGTAGAACACAAAGAGTTTTTCTGACTCTAAAAATATTTTTATCTCAGCAAAGGCCTTGGAAGAAGTCCTCCAGACTTAGTGCATACTGAAAATTTGAGTGTGACTCAAGCTCATTGTAACATAATGGTACTAGGCTATAATTATGATATATGAAAAGTTGGTTATTCTGTTATTAGGAGAATGGTTTAAAGGCTAAAAATGTTTTAAAATACAGGTTGAATATCCCTTATCTGAAATGGTTAGGACCAAAGTACTTTGATTTCAGATTATAAATTTTAGAATATTTGCATATACATAATGATATATCTTGGGGATGGGACCCAAGTCAAAACATGAAATGCATTTATGTTTTGATATACCAGATACACATAGCCTGAAAGTAATTTTATACAATATTTCTAATAATATTTTGAGTGAACCAAAGTTTGAGTTAATACATATATGTGGAATTTTTCACTTGTGGAGTGATTTCAGCACTTAAAGAGTTTTGGATTTTCTATTTTTAGATTAGGGGTGCTAAATCTGTGTAAAATTTAAAAGTCCTTTTAAAAATGTTTTGCACTAATCTAAGATCAATCAGGTTTCTCATTTTCTTAAGGAACTTTTTAAAGCATAGATATCAAATGCTTCTCTGGATTAAGTCAGACCATCTGAAAACTGTTCTGTATTTACTACATTATTACTGATAAAGTATGGCCCTTTGGTAAAATGATGTTGGCTTAAATTAAGAAGTTTTATAGGGAACTGGAATATGAAATTCACTTTATTTACACCAGATATATTGTTGATGATACTTCTGACTTCAAAGCAGAGATGATTAAAACAAAGGTCATATTGTCATTGCATGGAAACAGAGATCACTCAAATAAGGGGATGTGTATCATTTTATGGTTCCAGTGTAGTCTTATCTTTGTTTGACTAGAAACACTGTTGATAGTGGAAATGTTATTAAGTTTTCTCTGGCCATGTCTGCTTCCATTGAAAAGAGTTTTTGGTTTGGGTTAGGGCCATCACTGATTGCAAGCAGGATGCATTTTTATTTCCACATATTTTGTAGGGCAGAAAATTCTTAGTTTTTACAACCAGAGACATTTTTGCTTCTCTCCAACCACTGGTTTGTTTTCATGTTATAAGTTCTAGAAATTGTATAAAGGACTATGGCTCCATCTTCTCAGAGACCGCCAGAAAACTCACAGATGAATTTCCAACCCTAATTCTGTCAAGCTCACAGCTTTAACACATCCATTTTAGACCACTGCCGTAACCCCTGGCTTCATCTTA